CCTAGACCCTAAACCCTAAACCCCAAACCCCAAAATGGGCACCCTCATGATAAGTATGTTACTCAGCTTGGTAAGGGCTAGCCCGCCTTAGCTCCGGAGTGTGGTTGAGATTTTTTAGGGCGTGTTTAGGGTTCATAATAGAAGCCAAAAAAGTTGGAAACTCAATAGCCGCCTCAATCCCTAAGAGTAAAGTATAGGGAGTCCCAGCACTATTTCTCCTTAAAACGGTTTCCAACTTTTTGGGGTTTACTCTAGGGTGGTTTGTGCCCACGCCTCTGCACCCAGGATTCCGTTCTGCTTCGTGGAGCATCCGGTCCCTACTTGGCGACTTGGGTGCTGAGTGGTATAGGCTTCAGCCTCTTTTCGGGGGGGTGTCTGCGCACATCCCGCTTCAAACTCGCTGTGTGATGATCCGGAAATCCCTCTGAAGAAACTTGCTTGGGGCACGACAATCCCAAAACAAAACCCCAAAGCAAAACCCGAAACCCCAAGCCCTAAACCCCAAACCCTAAACCCCAAAAAAACCCTAAACCCCAAACCCTAATTAAACCCTAAACCCTCAACTGCGCCCCTTGTTGCCCCCCTGCCCCCCCAAGAATGAAAAGCTCCGCCTTCCAGGCACGACTTTCCTGCCATGTCCGACTGGAGTGTGGTTCAGGAAGTCTTGCTCCGAAGTCCTTGGGCCATGCCCTCCGGCTCGCAGGTTTGGTGTGTTTTTTTGTTTATTTTATTTGTCTATTATGATTCTTATTTCTTGTTGTGATTACTATGTTTGTTCTTATTCTTCTTCTTATTATGATTGTTATTATTTGTTTGTTTGTTTATTTATTTGTCTATTATTATCCTTATTCTTATTATTGTTTATATTCTTCTTCTTATGATTGTTCTTCTTCTCCTTCTTCTTCTTCTTCTTATTATTATTATTATTATTATATATATATATATTTATTTATGTATTTATTTATTTTGTTTTTTTTGTTTGGGGGGGGGTTAGGGTTTAGGGGTTAGCGTTTAGGGTCTAGGGCCTAGGGCTTAGGGAAGCCTAAAGCCGAAGCTCTAACTTCAAGCGGACTCCAGACCTTAAGCCCCCGACCTGGGGATGCTCCCCCTTATACTAAGAGTCCTTACTAGGGTTTAGGGTTTAGGGTTTAGGGTTTAGGGTTTAGGGTTTAGGGTTTTAGGGTTTTGGGTTTAGGGTTTAGGGATTACAGTACCCTCCCTATTCGAACCCCTATTAAGGACTGCTAGTATAAGGGGGAACATCCCAACCCTCACCCTTGAAATCCTAAAGCGAGTTCCTGAGGGTGTTCCCTCGGCTCCGATGCCTTTGGTCTGTTTGTGGTAGAGGCTTTCGGGCCTTCATGGGGCTCGGGCTCCGGGCATGTCTCAGGGAGTGGACATGGCCCCTCAATGTGGTCCCTTACGTTCAGGGGGGTTGGGTTCAGGACTACTTGCAGCGTCCATAGTGACCAGAGTGCCCAAATTCCCGCACGCTGACTTGATACTTGATCCTGAAACCTTACAGTATAGGCAGTATAGGCCTTAGAGCATTGGCGAGGCATATGAATTGGCAACCCTAAACCCTAAACCCTAAACCCCAAAACCCTTAATTCTGCATTCCCAACATCATCACAGCCATGGCACACGCCGAGGTTGCCCGTGGTTGTCTCTGGCGTTTTTGCCTTCGTGTACAACTGGCTACAGTACACTTTGGTGCATCTCTGGTTGCCAATGGTAACTGCTTCGATTCTCATAGGAATCTACCCGAAATCAGACCAAGGATCCCCATATCGCGTAAGGTGCGTTCCTTAATGAAGGGTTTAGGGTTTAAAGTTTTGTTGCCTTTTGGCTTCGATCTTCGTGGGCCTACACCTTGAACCTTAAGCCCGAGGCTCTTCAAGCTTGAAGCAATCGGGGCTGTGCGCTCGGGTGGGGGGGGGGAGGGAGGGAAGATAGTTGGTTTAGGGTTTAGGGCTTAGACCTTAGGGCTTAGACCTTAGGGCTTAGGGTTTAGGGCTTAGGGTTTAGGGTTTAGGGTCTACTAGACGGGTAGGTTAAGGGCTTGGGTTCTACAGAGGGAATTATGTAAGGGGTCCTCTCGGGAATCCACTCCACTTCCCTTTAAGCACCAGCATGTCATTCCAGGCAAAAGTTGTCTGCAACCCATGCCTCCTTCGCCGGAAGCCACGGGTACGCAGCGATACACTTTTGTCGATGTTGGTGATCAGGGTTAAACGCTAAAGCCTACACCCTAAACCTTAAACCCTAAACCCTAGACCCCAAACCCTAAACCCTAAACCCTAAACCCTAAACCCTAAACCCTAAACCCTAAACCCTAAACCCTAAACCCCTAAACCCTAAACCCTAAACCCTTCGGGCCTTTCAGCCCTAAGCCCCGGACCCTCGAGCCTAGGTGGTTGCGGGCTGTAGGTGGAGTAGGGTTTGGGTGTTGATAAGCTTGAGGCCCAGGGTTTTGGTCCCTTTTCTGGGTTTAGGGTTTAGGGTTTAGGGTTTAGGGTGGGTTTATGTTCGGAAGGTTCAGAACGGGTTGCTTAGCAGGGTGTCGACCAGTGGGCTGTATAGGGCTTGAAGATGAGATGTAGATGGGCTTGTGTGACTCTTAAGCCCCCATGAGCCCCAAGCCCTACCCAAAGAGCCCGAATACCCCTTAGTTAACTGGGTTTTGGAGTACTATACTTTAATACCCTTTTCGGTTCTGGGTTCCTATCACAGCTACCTATACCTGAAAAGTATACGCTTTTTTCCAGTGTCTACTCCAAAGTAGGGTTAAGGAATCTATAGAACCCCCTAGAGGTGCATATCCTGATGGGTCGGACTATGACTTCCTTGCCCTAAACCCTAAACCCTAAACCCTAAACCCTAAACCCTAAACCCTAAACCCTAAACCCTAAACCCTAAACCTCAGTTTCGTTGAGGTTTCAACATGGCTGCGACCATTGCCCTGTCTCTGTGCCGTGGAGACGAGCAGATTCTTGGTAGCCCACTGGCTTTCCCTCTTTGCCCCCCCTTTTTTAATATATATATATATATATACATATTAGTATATATTAGTATATATATATATATTATTTATTTATATTTATATTTATACGTATATTTATTTTTATATTTAGGTTCAAGGTTCCCTGTCAAGGTTCCCTTATAAAGTAAGCCCTCAGCATAGTTCAAGGTTCCCTTAGTTTCGCTTATAAAGTAACCAGTCTCCGAAAGGGGGTGCTATGATGAAAGGGTTGCTGGGCTACTAAGGATTCCTGAAGGATGGTATGGGCAGGTGTTTCTACTGGCCATTGCCAGCAACATCGCGGCCTTCGCTGCGTTTAACTTGAGCAAGAACGCTGGCAAATAATCAGGAGGGCCCTTGGGATACTTGACATGTCCCTAAACCCTAAGCCCTAAACCCTAAACGCTAAACCCTAAACCCTAAACCCTAAAAACCCTAAACCCTAAACCCTAGACCCTAAACCTTTATGGGGGTTTAAGAGGATCTTCTTGGTGAGGAACCTTTTCAACGGGCCATCCTCGATGGCATGGGGAGCCATGGCCAAAGTCGCTGCGGCAAGGCATGTCTCAAATCAACGGGGGATCTCCGTAATCTATAGATTCCTTTTGAGGATCTGTACAGGTAGATCCCCCTTCGGTCCCGTTTGAATTGCCGAAAAGTAGTACTTAGTACAATGTAAGGAACAGGGGGCTGCACTTTCTAGATCCTTGGGGTCTGGGAAGGCACCCGAGAATGGTATCGGCTGGCTGCAGCACTGGCCCAATGCGTCTGATTCACCATAGTCGCGGTCCTAAGCACTTAACCCTAAACCCGAAACCCTAGATCCTAAAGCCCGAACATCTCTACAACGCCCAAGTCTCACACCCACAGACCCTTAAAACCTTTTGCTGTTTATCAACCCTAAACTTTAAACCCAAGTCTCACCCCAAACCAAACCCTGAATCTTATGCTGTGATCCCTATAAACCCCCATCGGCAGCGGTCTTTAGTCCACCTAAGATGCCCGTTTGTACCCTTGCTGGGGGTTTCGGGTTTCGGGCTTAGGGTTTATATAGGATTTAGGGTTTAGGGTTTAGGGTTTAAGGCAAGCAAGGGCAGACCCTCTTGCGCTTAGGATTGCTGGGGGAGCTAAGCCCGAAACTCTAGACATATAACCCTAAGCCCTAAATCCTACACTCTATATCCTAAACCCTAAATCCTAAACCCGAAGCCCTCTAAATCCGGAGAGCCTCCCGGCACCTCCACTTCAGCTGAATTGTCGCGGCAGCGTGGAAGTTGGAACTTCATGTAGGACTTTGCCCTTCAAAAGACCTGAACTGTCCCAAGCAGTCCTAAGCGGTGTAGGGTATCGGCATAGGTTCAGGGCCTTAGTGTTTAGGGTCCTAAACTCCTAACCCTGAGCTCCTAAACCCTAAGGCCCCAGGGCTAAACTCCCAAACCCGAAGCTCCTAAACCCTGTGGCCCGTGAAGCCGACAAAGGAACCCTAAGCTCCATGTCTTGTTCGGCATGTGGGGTCTGGGGTTTAGGGTTTAGGGTTTAGGGTTTAGGGTTTAGGGTCTAGGGTCTAGGGTCTTGGGTTTAGAGCTTAGGGCTTGGGGCTTAGGGCTCTGACGTCTGGACTTGGCTGCTTTAGAGAAATGGATTTCAAGCAAGTTTCGCTTTAGGCCCTAACCCCATATACAGCTGACATAACTCAAATAGAAAGGTTGAAGTTCTCTACTTTCTTCGATACACGGATCTCTTCTCTAAATTACGGTCCCTTTTGGGTCCTTATTCTAAGGCGGCTGCTGCCCCTGTTATTTAGGGCACCCAAAAAGGGGACCATAATTTAGAGAACTGACAATTTATGGATCCCTTTAGAGGCCCTAAACACCCCTAAACCCTAAAACAACACCCTAAACCCTAAAACCCAATCCTGAACCCTGAGCCCTAAACACAGTAAACCCTAAACCGTTGGAGGCCTTCAGCCCATGACCAGGTTGGTAACACCGCCTGGCTGCTGGATGGTCCAGAGGCCTACGCCCTAAACCCTGAACTGTCAACCGTCAACCAGGTTTAGGGGGTTTTGGGTTTCGGGTTTGGGGTTTAGGGTTTAGGGTCTAGGGGTCTCATCTAAATCCCCCGCCCCCCAGTTGTAGCTGATCTTCCGGGGTGTGCGATTGGGGGCTAGGTAGGACCCCAATCCCCGCACCCTTAAAACCCTGAACCCTAGAACTCAGAACCCTAAACCCTAAACCCTAAACCCTAAACCCTAAACCCTAAACCCTAAACCCTAAACCCTAAACCCTAAACCCTAAACCCTAAACCCTAAACCCTAAACCCTAAACCCTAACCCTAAACCCTAAACCGTAAGCTCTAAACCCTAAGCTGTGAACCATGAACCCTGGAAGGCCCCAAACCCTATACTCCAAACCCTGAGGACCCAAAACCCTACAACCCTGTGACCCTATAACCCTACACCCCAAGCTGCAAACCCTAAACCCCAAACCCTTAAACCCCAAGCCCTAAACCCCAAACCCTAAACCCTAAACCCCAAGCCCTAAACCCTAAACCCCAAGCCCTAAACCCCAATCTGTCTGGTTTTCCCTTGCGGAGATCAGGGATGCCCCGTTCATTGGATCCGATGGGTGAGGTTTAGGGCTTTTTAGGGTTTAGGGTTTAGTGTTTGGGGTTTAGGGTTTAGGGTTTAGGTTTTAGGGTTTAGGGTTTAGAGTTTAGGGTGCTGAATTGGGCTCAAAAGGCTTCAGCAGTTAGTAAACTTGGACCGGTTGCGCGCCCTCATTCCGAGTTACTCGTTTGTTCATTGTCACTGCGTTCCCCCGTAGACATCCTGTTTTAGCCTGAGCTTCGAGTTGGGACCACATAAACAAAACCTTTAGTTGAGTGCGTCCCGCTGGAGAAGTAGCAGTTTTCAGATTCAGCGACTTTGCCCAAATCCGAAACTTTGAACTCTAATGAGAGTAGCTCTCAACCGTAAAAAATGCCAAACATGTTCACTCATTGCAGCAACTTCGCATAGGCTGCCTTTATGGGGGGGGCGAGGTGGCGGGACTTCTTCCGTCAGAGTCCTGCTGGCAGACTATGGTCAAGAAGCATTGGCCATGTAAGAAGGCAGTGTTTTGGGATTGGATGCTCCCCGTTATACGAACAGGGCTTAATAGGGAGTCTGGTACCCAGAGAGCCCAATACCCCTTAATTACGGAATATACCTTAAATGATAAAGGGATCCTTAGTATGATTTAAACAATATTCCTTATTTAAGGGGTATTGGGCTCTTAGGGTACCCCCTATTGTAATCCGTATTAAGGACTGTTTAGGATAAGGGGGAACATCCCAAGGTTGGTGCTCTAGGGCTTCGGAGTTTCGGGCTGTAAGGTTTAGGCATGGTTTTGGGGTTTGGGGTTTGGGGTTTAGGGGTTAGGGTTTAGGGTTTAGGGTTTAGCGTTTAGGGTTTAGGGTTTAGGGTTAGGAGTGCCATGTTCAATGAGTAGCTTAGGTCTTCGAAGACAGGATGCACGCTAAAGCCGATAATGCCCCGAAGCATCTCGCCTTTACCCCTGGATGCTAAACCTACGTCACCCATTCCGTAGCCCTCGACGCCTACAGCAGGCTTTCTTGAGGCCCTTTACCCAGCCTTTGGACTACATCGCCCAGGACACGCATGAGCGATGTAGTATTGGTTCTGGGGGGTTCAGGGGGGGGGGGGGGGTTATGGTTTTTGGGTTCAGGGTTTAGGGTTTAGCTTTTCGGGCCTAGGGTTTTCGGGCTAAGGTTCAGCCCTAGCCTACCCAAAAAAAGCAGCCCTAGAGCCTCCAAGGCTTCTAGAGAAGTTTAGGGCTTAGGGTTTAGGGCTTAGGGCGTCAGTTTAGAGTTTACGCTTTACAGGTCTCAGGTAGCTTGGGTAAAGGGACTTACAGGCCCTTTTGAACATTGGGGGGGAATTGGGTTCCAGGGCTTTAGGGATGAACGTTGGGGTTTCTGTTCAGGGGGCTGCTCGTGGCGCGCTTCACAGGTTTAGGCTGCAGAGGTTTGGGGTTTAGGGTTTAGGGTTTAGAGCGCTTAGGGTTTAGATCGCTTAGGGTTTAGGGTCCCCAGACCCCCGTCCCCAAAGGGGTCTCCCTACTTTGGGTCTTAGATTCTTGGGTGTACGCCTTTGAGGGGGATTGGACCGTACCTGTCCTCTAGATCATTGGGAAAAGAGCCCCTTGTTGAGGGGAATCCTTGCTACCCTGGGGACCTACTTCATGGTTAATATTATTTTGGGGACAAGGTTTAATTAGGGTTTAGGGCATGTCTGCGTGGGCTTTTGAGGAGGGTTTATTGGACTGGCACTTGGGGTAGCCCTGATAATCTCAAGCCAGCAGAGAACCAGCTTCATGAATGTTAAATTATGCGTACGAGGTATTTGCCACCAAACTGTTGGCAAGGCAAGGCCTACTACCCGAAAACCTACACACTAAAACCTACCCAGAGAGCCCAATGCACCTCAATTAAGGAATATCCCCAAGAAAAACTGTACATATACATATATATATATATATATATACACATGTATGCATGTATATATAGATAGATAGATGGATAGATAGATCCTTAGTATCATTTAAGGCATGTCGCGGTATGCTTCTTAGTTATGGGGTACAGGGCGGTATGTTTCTTAGCTATGGGGTACAGGGCTCTTTGGTTAAACCCTGGCTGAGCCCATGATTCGGCAAGGAAAAAACGACCCGAAACCCTAAACCCAAGACCCTAAACCCTAAACCCGGCAAGGAAAAACGCCGGCTGTGGCTCCTCGAGCGGTTGCTTTGCGACGAAGGAACGCTTGGAGCCAAGATGCTTCATCAGGCTTTAGGGTTTTAGGGGTTTAGGGTTTAGGGATAGGGTTTACGGTTTAGGGTTTAGGGTTTAGGGTTTTAGTTCAGGCCCCTATACTGTATGATTCACTTCGATCCTAGCCCCCTTCAACAGCAGCCGATACTTGAAGGTTCCCGAGATGTAAGGGGACCCTAAACCCCAATCCTTAACTAAGCCATATGGGGCCCTTGTGCTCATAGGATCCGGTTATATTCTAGGACCAAGAGTACCTTGTTGTTAGCGTTTGGGTCCCTTCATAAAAACCCCCCCCCAAAAAAAAAGCGGCACTTTTTTGTTTTGCCTAGGAAACTCTTGGGTCCAGCAAGGTAGTGGCAAGGCTCTGCCTTGCAGCGTCACCCTAAGCCCTAATTTGGGTTTCGGGTTTAGGGTTTAGGGTTTAGGGTTTAGGGTTTAGGGTTTAGGGTTTAGGGTTTAGGGTTTAGGGTTTAGGGTTTAGGGTTTAGGGTTTAGGGTTTAGGGTTTAGGGTTTCGGCTTCTAGACCCCTGCAAGCTTCAAACGTTCCCCCCAGGCGCCGTTCCGTGGCAGACTTTTTCCCTGGAGCGCTGCAGTGGCCGTTGCTAGGTGCCGGTTTAGGGTTTAGGGTTTAGGGTTTAGGGCTTAGGGTTTAGGGTTTAGGGCCACTCTTTGTTTCCGGAAAACAGGCTGAAGAGCCCTTCATACCTCTCAATTTTGCAGGAATCGACCAAAATCATAGGGGAACCCTTGATCTGATCTAAGGCTAAGATGTATAGTCCTTAATCAAGGGGTCTAGAGGTGGGAGGTTCTGGTCTCTTAGAGCTTTTTGGTTTAGGCTTGTGGGGCTAGAGGGTTGCTAAGGATGTAGGTTTCAGGCAGGGTAGAGTGGCGTTGTTGCTTTTGGCGGGTTGAGCGTTTCGACTTTTTGTCCAGGTTTGGTTGAGGTTCGCCGTCCTTAGCCCAGGCGTGTGTAGACCATGAACCCTAAACCCTAAACCCTATACCCTAAACCCCCTAAACCCTAAACCGCAGCTCTCACGGTTTTGGAGATCGACTGCAGGGTTTAGGGTTTCGGGTTCAGGGCTTGCATCGCCCCGGCCGCATTTTCTGGGTAGGCCCCTTGCGATATGGAAATAGGAGGATCATATTTAGGATCAGAGAGGGTTATGTATTTTATATGTTGTGTTGTGTTCTGATATGTTATACTATGCTGTTCTATGCTACGTGATGGGATGTTATGTTATGTTACGTTATGTTATGCTATGTTGCGTTATGTTATGGTATGTTACGTTACGTTACGTTACGTGATGCTATGCTATGTCATGTTATGTTGTGTTATGTTATGTGCGTATGCGTGTATGTTTGTATGTAGGTAGGTAGGTAGGTATGCTCTGTATGTATTTATGTATGTACGTACGTACTTATGGTGCGTATCTTTCAAGAGTGCTTAAAGGGCCACCTTGGTTTGTTGACAAAGTCCTTAGCTGAGGTTGGGTGGATCGGCGCTGGGCTTCTGCCTTTCGGGCCCTAAACCCTAAACCCTATAAACCCTAAACCCTAAACCCTAAACCATCAAGGGGACTCAAAAGGATCTCCTTACAGGCCCTCGTGGGTTTCCCAATGTGGGGGTCTCCTGACATGGAGCCATCTTGGCCACTGGAACCTTTAGGATTTGGGGGGTTTAGGGCGGCTTTCAAGGAGTCAGCTGAGATAAGGACGTACCATATAGGATTCAAGGGCTTAGGATGAATATTGAAGGTCCTCCATCTATACTCTATACTGGCAGGGTGGGGCCAGGCGTTCAGCTTGAACATTTAGGGTGCCGAGGCTGTGGGATGGGTCTGGCTTTGGCCCCCCCTTGTCTGCACACAAACGTAGGGTTCAGGTTTTCGGGCGCCAGCGCCAACCCAGCGTACATGCTGGTCTGTTTTTGATCCCAAGCCCTCCATTTCCACGAGAGACTGGTGGCTGCCACCTTCGGCAGGCAGCGTCAACCGCTTATCTTGGCAGCAGCCTTGTCCTTGGACCCACGAGGTTTTCATTGCACTCTGGGCCCAGGGCTTTGGGATTTAAGGGCGCTCTTCTGAAGAAGGCGGGCTTTGTTTAAGGGCGGGGGGGGGGGGGGGGGCTGTTCTAAAATTCGGGTCTTCCTGAGGGTGGGATGTGGGGTTGACAGCTCTCCCTTGCCCCCCTAAACCCCAAACCCCAAACCCCACCCTAAACCCTAAACCCTAAACCCTCAACCCTAAACCCTAAACCCTAAACCCTAAACCCTAAACCCTAAACCCTAAACCCTAAACCCTAAACCCTAAACCCATCAGACTTTCAGTCCAAGACCTCAAAGTCGCCTGAAGTCTGCTGGTCACGACTACAGGATACAGCTTGGAGGTTCATGGTACTTAGTAACCAATTAGGGTTTAGGGTTTAGGGTTTAGGGTTTAGGGTTGAGGGTTTAGGGTTTAGGGTTTAGGGTTTAGGGTTTAGGGTTTAGGGTTTAGGGTTTAGACATGGTGATAGGTACAGTTTATAAGTGCAGTTCTGATTGGTTAATAATTAATAAGCACCATGAACCTCCAAATAGGGTTTGGGGTGATCTAGGGTTGAGGCATTCATTGTTCGGGGTGCCTTATTCAGCGTAAATCCTAACCCACACCTTAAACCCTCCACATCTAAGGGGCTGGGATTGGGCATGTAAGGCAGGGTTAGGGTAACCCTAAACCCTAAACCCCCTTTCTGGCCCCTCTGTTCGGTGAAAACTCTCTGCCTTCTTCGGACGCCAAATCCGAAACCTGAGCTCCTCAACCCCCCAGCCCTGCCGTCCTACAGCCGATCCTGGAGCTGGACAGGGTTTAGGGTTTAGGGTTTAGGGTTTAGGGTTTGACAGCTTGGGACCCTAAGGCCTATGGCGAAAAGAGCCTTGAGGAACTTTTTGGCGTTCCGTAAACCCCAAGCCCAACAGACCCTAAGCCGCGAGCTTTCGTGAAGTTTAGGGCTGACGCCTTAGCATGTTGAATTAGCCCTAGACCTCCAAGGAGCTTACTGTATGGTTGGCTGTTCGAAGTTGTGTCATGGGTTCCCCTACTACCCCCCCTCTATATTGCCCCCCAAAGATTCCCCCCCCTTAAATAACCTTAATTATCCCTAAATAGCCTTAATTATGGGGGGAACCTGGCGGGGTTTAGTATAGAGGGGGGAAGTAGGGGAACCCATGATTGTGGGTTGAGGGTAGGCCGTTTCTGGGTGTCCACCCTGCTCTCCCGGAGGCCTTGCCGATTTGCGGGGCTTAGGGCAAAAAAACACGACCCTAGATCCTGAACCCTAAACCCTAAGCCCTAAAACCCTAAACCCTAAGCCCTAAGCCCTAAAACCCTAAGCCTAAACCCTAAATCCTGACCCCTAAACAGTAACCCGGGGTCCCGCAAGACTCTGACAAGCCCATGAGGTGGGAGCAGACCACTCCTGCGGCACGTCCTCAGCTCCTCGGCCACGTCCTCCGATCTCCTCCAGGCGTGGCCCACTGACCCTAAACCCTAAACCCTAAACCCCAAACCCTAAACCCTAAACCCTAAACCCTAAACCCTAAACCCTAAACCCTAAACCCTAAACCCGGACCCTATTGGGGGCACTACCTGGCACTCGACTTTGCCTAGAGCTTGGTGCGGTTAATATATTTATTTATTCGTTTTAAGAGGCAGGCACGCTTCCTGTTCTGGTGCTGTCAGAAAATCTGATACTCTTAGTTCGCCAATACTTGAAATTTAAACCTTTTGGGTTTCCTGATTTAGTAGGAAAGATAAAGTCTAACCTTTTTCTTCTCCCCTTGGTTATTGGAGAAGTAAGAAAGGGCAACTAAACAAAAAGGGGGGCGAGGTAGCACCGAGATTTCATGAGGGCCCTCAGGGAAGTGGGCCCTTTGGATAGTTTCAGCACAGTCTAAGCCCTAGGCTTCCCATGTTGGTCTTTGCCTAAAACACCGCTCCGTTTCATGCACCCCGCCCCCCCCCCCCCCCCCCACCCTAAACCCTAAACCCCAAACCCTAAACCCTAAACCCCAAACCCTACATCTTAACTGTCAAAGGCTTGAATCATCATCATTATGTTTAGCCCCTAGATCCTACGCTCTGAGCATGGATACCCCCCAAAAAGGGTATCTTAGGATCCGGAGTAATCCCTTATTCCCTTTTTGTTAGGATTTAGGTTCCCATTATCAGCCCCCCTTTAAACCAAAAAGGTGGGTGACCCTTTGTTTTCCTCTTGGGTCTAGTTTCTCTCTAAGCGTAGTTTCATGGGCCCTTAGTATGGTCCCTTACCCTCTTGAACGGGTTCTGATGTATGAAGGTTTTGAGGCAGGCTCCCCACCCGACCCGGCGCGCACTCTCTCTTTCTCTCTCTTTCTCTCTCTTTCTCTCTCTGTCTCACTCTCTCTCTCTCTCTCTCTCCTTGTCTCTCTGTATCTCTCTGTCTCTCTCTCTCTCACTCAGTCTGTCTCTCTCTCCCGCTCTTTGGCGCCGGCACCCTTTAAGGGTCCATCCTAAGGGACCATGAAACTACCCTAAACCTTATAAACCCCTAAACCCCTAAACCCCCCTAATCTTGTGTCCAGTATCTCAAATCTTCGGAGACTCCCATGTCAGGTGGCCCCATTGCTTCACCCAGCCTCTTGCCCATTGCCTCTGGCGGCCAGGCCGGCTTTTTTTGCGGCCTGAGGGCCATGAGGGGGCTTCTATTCATATAGGGTTTACGACTATTTGCTTAAGAGAATCCTCTCAAGAATTCAAAACAACAGAGACACGTTCTGCCTTATAAGAGCAATTTGAGAGATAGTAGTTTAGGGTTTGGGTTGGAGGGTTTAGGCGTCCGAGCTTGGGATTAGGACTTGGGTTTCTGATGATGATGTATATATGGTGAAGAATGGTCGCAGGTTACGGAGTGAAGATATTTACTTCCTTGCGGCTTGGGTATTTTGTCATGGGCTGTACATAGTGGTCGTGCCAGGCGTGTCAGCTTGCCTTTCGAGAGCATGAAGAGACTACTATTGAGGGTCTGCATTCCTGCGTGAGAATGTGATACAATGTGGTGATATCCTTTAGGCTCAAAATAGCCCAAAAACCTTATAAAATAAGGCCTTTGGGACCTAAACCCTTAAATGAGAGTCCTTGGAGCCTTACTATATATATGATCTCAACAACTGCATTTTTTCTGTGGCGCATGGAAGAGCTCTAAACTTTCCCTGTCAATAGCAAGAGATGCCTGCGAGATACTTGGAACATCCGGGACTTTTGTGAGTAGCTTATATGCAGACTCGCACTTTATCAGTATGTACCCTCCCAAAGAAAGGCCCTAATTGAGGTTATCCATCTTATCACCATACCATACTACTTATGATCCTCCTTGAAGTACCTGCCGTAGACACTCTCCCCCTCGCCATCCTCATGCAGTCATCACAGGTGGGGCGGCAGCCGACGGTAGCTGAGTGAGTCACTGTGCCTCCAAAGAAGTTGAACCAGCGGAGCCCCCCCCCCCCCCCCCCCCCCCCCCCCCCCCCCCTCCCCCCATACCTTGCAATGTTCACCCTTGTACCAACAGCTCCTCAATAGGGATTATAGTACCCCCTCTAATACAATCCCTGTTAAGGACTGAGGGAACATCCCAACCCATACCTGTCATCATGATATGCTGCCCGGCAAGCAGGACGGAGTTTCAGAACCAAGTGCTGCCCAAAACATCATGCTAGGCTTTATAGGCTTGAGGGTTGGGGGCTTAGGGTTCAAGGGATTAACACAGATCAATGGCCCCCCCCAGGCCCCCCCACCCCGAGGCATGCAGAGGCAGCAGAACAACCAAAAAGAAGCAGCCTGCTCCAGCGAAGTGATCCTAAACCCTGAGCCCTACACCCTACACCTGGTAGTGAGGTTCGGGCTTGTCAAGCTTGGTTTGGTTCATAAACCCCAAAGCCCTATAACCCTAGAAACCTAAACCCTCAACCGTAACCCCCAGATGTGAGTGTGTGTGTGTGTGTAGAAATGGAGCTAGACATGTGGGCTCCTTTTCTCTATGACATCAGACACTACTATTTGCTTAAGAACCCCAGAAGAATAAATAATAATCCCTATATTACCCTTAATAAGGAAGAATATTGTTTTGGTTGGGGTTCTTAAGCAATTGGTAGACAATAGGGCCGCGCTTTAGAAGAACGTCAGACCTCTTGCAGCTGAAACTTCCCCAAGCCCAAAAGCCCTGTTCGCCTCAAACCCTCCCAAGCCCCAAGACCAAAGCCCTAAACCCTAAGCCCTAAGCCCTAAGCCCTAAGCCCTAAGCCCTAAACCCTAAACCCTAAACCCTAAACCCTAAACCCTAAACCTTCACCTGAGACTGAAGCAACCGACGACCTTTGTTCACGTATGATTCCGGCGCTTCTCTAGCTTTTCTCCCACCGGGACTCCATCTTGTCTGCTGCTGCTGTGTTATTCCGATTTATATCGAAATACAAGCCCTAAGCCCTACACCCGACCCTTAGCCTTAAACCCCTAAAGTGCTGAAGTCGAGTTGCTTGCATTGCTTGCCTGCTTCGCCTCGGGCTGCAACAGGCTCAGAGCACATCTCAGCAGTGACAGCTGCAGGATAGCTTCTCTGATATAGCAGCCCACGAACCCTCAACCCAGACCCTCAACCCCACCAACTACGACAACCGCAGCCAACAGCATGTATCACGCATGTAAGACTCATCGGCTCATAGAAAACCTGAAGGCCCTCGACCCTAAGGGATAAATCTGCCCTTGCCAGCCCTAAATCAGTTTGGACTGCAACCCAGGCCCCAAGCTTCTCTGCACTCGGCTTCTGGTTATGTTTGGGGTTTGGGGTTTAGGGTTTAGGGTTTAGGGTTTAGGGTTTAGGGTTTAGGGTTTAGGGTTTAGGGTTTAGGGTTTTAGGAACCTAAGCCCTATGTTTGCAGGACTTGTCGGTTTGCAGGCTTTCGGGTTCCTTGCGCGCCCGGCATCGAGTCGCTCGCCTCTCCGGACCGAGGCCAAGAGTGGCCAGGGCTTGCAGGGTTTAGGGTTTAGGGTTCAGGGTTTAGGGTTTGGGTTTAGGGTTTAGGGCTTAGGGCTTAGGGCTCAGGGGTTTAGGGTTTAGGGTTTAGGATTCAGGGCTTAGGGTTTAGGATTAATTTTAAAGTGGGGTGTTGAGGTTGTTTTGGGCGTGAGACTAAGAGGCTTCAGTATTGGGGATGCCTGGTGAAACTCGGATCTAAGGCTACTGCGACTGCAACACCCGCCTCCTCCTTCTATGCTTGGTGCGTCTCATGGGGCTCCTCGCGCGGTCTAGGGATTACACCCGAAACCCTAAGCCCTAACCCCAAACCCGAAACCCGGAGCTCTCGGCGGGGAGGGAGCTCCGCGTGGCCGCTTTGGGGGTTCAGGGTCAGGGTATTGAGGCGGTAGGGTTTCCTAGACAACCCTAAACCATAAACCCTAAGCCCTAGGGCCATTACTCTACATACTTTGGGGGGGGGGTTAGGCAGGTTTATGGGGTATTTAAGGGTTTGGGTTTTCGGCTTAGGGCTAAAGGGTTCAGGGTTCGCTATAGGGTACCCAAAGAGCCCAATACCCCTTACTTAAGTAAGATACCTTAAATTACATGAAGGATCCCTACATAAATTACGGCATATTCCTCAAGGGCTTTGGGTGTAGAGTACTCAGTCACATGTTGTCTTCAAGATTCGCTAAGCTATCCCCCCCAGCAGCCGGGGCTTGACTTGCAGTTTGTCATCGATGGCCGAACGCCGGTGCACAGAGGGCTTTGGAAACCTGCAGTGGCATACGGGAACCCCGTTAGGCCGAACTCGTAGGTTTCCTAAACGATTGCACCTCTGATGTGTTTAGGGCTCCGTGCTGCAAGTTTGTATAGTTCGTTTGGAGTCTTTAGGGTTATTGCCGGGTATTTATTAGCAGAGAATAAAGGGACCCATAAGGGATCTGCTGTAAGTGATGTGTCCTTGATAGCCATAAATCCAATACTCCGTAGTAGCCATAGTAGGGGTCCGAGCAAATAAACCTTCCGTAATTGAGGTAGTACGGGTCTTTGGGCAAACTAGATGGCAAAACTCCCAGATACTTGCTATTGTGGACCCCGGTTCTCCCCGTTAACATAGTTGTGGGACTTAGGGTTCAGGGTTGAGGCCTGAAAGCTGTAGCAGCGCAGGTTCTAAGCGCACGAGCATCTGAGTCTGGATTTAAGACCCTGATCCTCCGCACCCCGCCGAATTAAACTCTAAACCCGAAGTGCCACCAGGGCTTCAGGGTCCCTGCCCAAAACGCCCTGGCAACTCCAAGAACGGCGGACCCGCCGTTTGCACGTGGCAAAGCGCAGCCTGGGTGGGTTAGAGTTTCGGGCTGGGGTTTATAAGATCCTCTGAACTCTTATCCCCAATAGAGAAGTTATAACGCGTACCAGGGTCTGCTTAGTCAACGTCTCTGGCATTTGGAAGTTGAACGAGGAGTTGGACCCAAAATGTGCGCTCATCTAACGTATGGGACGTTTCGGGTGTGCTTTATTATACGACGTGTCTTTATTCTCGTTGTTGGGCTGTACTAAGTAATTATTGGCGTTGATTCCTGTATTTGGGTCTGTACAGAATATTTCCCACTAATTTCATCAACCGCCACACCGGGCCGGCAGGGTTTAGGGTTGTGCTTGAAGTCGCGAAGGTCTCAGGGCTTCAGGGCTTAGAGTCTTCAAACCCTCAACTCTCGACCTAAAACCCTAAACCTTGGGATGTTCCCCCTTATACTCACAGTCCTTAATCGGTTATAGTACCCCCTCTTAGAATCCCCAGTAAGGACTGTTTCTATAAGGGGGAACATCCCAACCCTAAACCCTAAACCCTAAAGCGCAGGTCATCATGGTTCTTCTGTCTTGGCTGAACGAGCTGGCTGGCCCTTGCTGCCTGGCGGCGTGACATGTAGGGGCTCAATGACTTAGATGACATAGGAGTTTAGGGTTTGGGGTTAAGGGTTTTAGGTTAGAGGGTTTAGGGTTTGGGGTTTCGGGTTTAGGGTTTAGGGTTTAGGGACCCCTAAAATAGATCCCCAAATAGTAGCCTTCACCTATAACAAGACCAAGAAGGTACCCCTAATCTCGTAACCCCCCCCCCCCCCCCATATAGGGACCCTTAATCTGATTTAAGGTATCTTCCTTTTCAAGGCGTACTGGGCTCTTTGGGTAAGGGACCCTACTTGGAGGTTCATGGTACTTACTGACCAATTTGAACTATACATACAACTACACTCATAACCATACTAAACCACTTTAAGGGGCTTACAAGTTTGTTAAAAGTATTGTTATCCTAAACCCTTAGCCCTAAACCCTGCACCCTACACCCTAAACCCTACAGTAAACCCTTTTAAGTACAGTTAGAACTGGGCACTAAGTACCATGAAACTCCAAGTATGGGCGTTGCGCAGGCTTGGCATATTTTGGGGTTTAGGGTTTAGGGTGTAGGGTTTAGGGTGTAGGGTGTCGGGTTTTAGGGAAAGCAAATTACAAGCACAATGTACACCAAAAAACTTCCTTAAAAGTCATTCTGCAAATAACAAGCCTTTTAAAACACGCTAAACAACACAACATACATGCCAAAAGCCTACGAAACCCCACTAAACCCGTAACCCTGCTAAAACCTAAACCCTATTGTACTAGACCCTAAACCCTAGACCCTAGACCCTAGACCCTAGACCCTAGACCCTAGACCCTAGACCCTAAACCCTAAACCCTAAACCCCAACCAAAGCCTACGAAGTCCCCAGGAGCAAGGGGTATTCGTATAAGGGGGAACATCCCAACCTAAACTATATAAACCCCTAAACACTAAACCCCAAACCCTTTAAACCCTAAGGAGCCAGCCCCAGGCTGCATCACAGGGCCGTGCTTCAACTGCCCAGGCCCGGCCAGCAAAGGCCTGGCCCCTCCCAAGTGGCCTACACGGCGTGTGAGCGGTTTAGGGTTTAGGGTTTTAGGGTTTAGGGTTTTAAGGGTAAGGCCTAAACCCTAAACCCCTAGGCCATTTTTCGGTGCCCTAAAAAGGAGGCTCGGGTGCCTGGTCTCTTCACGTTCGTGCTGTTCGGACGCGTATAAGCCATGACAAGGGGTTTATGGTTAGGCTTTAGGGGGTTAGGGCCTAATTTAGCCTAAACCCTACGTAAGAGCGTTTGGCGCAGGTCGGTCCAACAGAGACCAGCAACTCTTGAGGACGTTCCGCAGTCCTGGCTGCTTGGCACAAACGGGGACTGTGAATCCTAAAACTCCAATGCCCTAAGCCCCAAACTCCTTGTATGCGTCCACGCTCGGCATCCTCGACTCTGCTTCACTCCCCCTCCTATTCCCCCTCCCTGGCATCCCGCCTAGCCCTCAACCCAAAATCCACCACGAACCACAAGAGTCTCAAGAGAAGGGGAAACCCTAAACTAAACCCTGAACCTAAATCC